GGCCATCGTACTTAACACTTCGCTTTGGTTTAGTTTTGTTTAACGTCCTATTAATATCAAAGGTCATTTAAGGACGTTCCTCCATGTATGTAGTGCATGCGTGTGTGTATCCACGATATGGTATGTTGAGGTGATTGCCTCCTTGTGATAGCGCGGATCTGATGCCGACTTTTTAGCGATATATCCCTGAAAAACATGCCGAAGACACCCAGGACAGCATTCCGCCCGGTCACATTATACATCAGTTGTTGAGTTGTTGTCATTCCCCTTAATGCTGAACGTTAAGCAGGACGTTAAGCAGGACTACCATGTTTAAGGACTTTGATATGTCCCGTCCTGGGGAGAGAACCCATTGCCTTCCTCACCTGGGCGAACGCCCAACATTAAGGCAAAATGTGAGGTGTTGTCAAGCAAGGCGCTAGTAAATAAAAGGTACTGAGAAGTAGAAAACAAAAAACAAAGATCCCAAATTGCAATGGGCGCAGCAGATTTATTTTGGTCGCTCTCGTGTCCCCAAATAGAGGACACCTAAGCAAATCCTCAATTCTGAAATGGGCTCCCACATATGTCGCCTCCTACGATACATGCAGAGGGTAACAACAGGTGCATTTATTTCCCGATCCCCACCTGCAGGGGTGCAATTCACGGAGAGGTTTCTCTCATAAACAGTCTTTAATTTGATACGTTTTTTCAGCTCCTTGTGGAATAACCTAGCGAGTGCCGCAAAATCGATTTGTTACCTGACGCTGCATGTCCCACGTGTATGTGAAGAACTCAAACACAGCCTGTGCTAGGCCGATATTTATTCCAGGGCGTGACGTCACAGCTTTCGGTGTACACAATATAAAGAGTGGTACTCAACACACATATGATGAATGACGCACAGGTCATCAAGCGAACCTACATCTGATTTATGTAACATCTCCCTTTCTTTAACGAAAACAACATAACAATGATAAATGACTAGAAATGTGTTTTTGACTTATAGCAACATTATTTCTAAATTATTGTAAAATGAAACACAAATTTCACTCTAATCGAAATCGGTGTTGTTCAGTCTGTGAATTACAAAAGCCTCTAACCAAGATTTCTATCCAGGTATACACACAAAACCATAGAGTCTTTAGTTCTAACTAAACTCGAAACATTTGTTAACAGTATCAAATCAAAGTACTGAAAGTACTGAAAGCTAAGGCAATACATATATATATATACTATTTTTGGAATGGAGAACAAAATAAAGACGAAGTTTCAATTTGTTATGAATCATAGTTTTATGTAAAAGTGTACCACTGTGAAGTTATTCTTCTTGTGTGTACAGTATATCTTATTAAGTTTGTCAGAAGTGGGGTACCAAGTTTCCTATAGAATATATCATTTTAGACCTTTGGATAATTAATTTGCATAGGAATAAGGAATTGCTTCCCTTTGTCCATATTTCACAAGTAATTTGTTTGGCCTAATGTTTCTGTCATTTCATAATATTTAGAACTACTATACTTTTTTAAGTTTCCAAAACATCAAGTAGTAAAACAATTGAAACTTCAATGACAGCCAACATCACAATGAATCTAACAATTTGTTCTCTATGGAACTGTGCAGCTATCTGTAATGGACTCACAAAGAAATATAGACACCAAGTGGGCACACCTTCAGTCGCGAAAATATCATTTCAATCATATGTACAGATATAAGAAGACGCGTCTATCACATCTTTAACCAGTCGATAAGGCAAAAAGCGGAAGTCACGATCGACCTGTTAAAGTTAGCGTCATTATCAAGATACTGTTATGTGAGCTTCGTGTCGTCAACAAGTCTTCTTCTTTTCCCGTTCTTTAGCACCACATAATGTTTTCCGTCAACACTATAAGAATTTTGGACACAGTCCAGCCGGAAAGCTTCACTAAGTCTCTGTTGGTTTGTCTTTGTCAAGTCCTCTGATACTGTCATACCCGATCCTTTCAGAATCCTCCTGGCCCTGACGATCTCGTGTGGGTGAGTTTAACAATCACAGGTCTTCTCCTTGTGTTGTCGAACCTCCCCAGCCTATGGGCGATGTTGATATCCTCCGGTCGTAAGGGCACTTTCAGCTGATTGTTAGCAAAGTCAACCACTTTCTTCACACAGTCCTCAACGGATTCTTTAATTGACGGGTCATGGAGACCGGCTATTCTGATCAAATTCTTCCGACCGTGCTGCTCAAGGTCATTGAATTTGATTTCAAGGTCGTTTACGATACCTTCTGAATCGGATTCTCTCTGTTCCAGTACACTGATTCTCTCCTTTAGATCTTCGTTTTCTGTCTCTCTGGTATTAATCCTCCATTTGAGGGAGTTCACCAGGTCCTCGTTTTCCCTATGGATTTCTGTTTGTAGTTCCTCTTTCATCTTCGTAATGATCGTGTCCATGTATTCCTTTGTGACAGAGTTCTCAATCTTTATCGATAGTTCCTCCAATCTGTCAGAAACACTAACAGACTTTTTAGGAAGACCCATGTTGACAGGTGACGAGTGTACAACAGTCCAAGTTACACAGATCTATATAGCAAAATAGGGATCGGAATGTCGCCGTGAGTGGTGGTCACCACCTGTAGTGCTAGTCCATTGTCATATCAAAAAACGCTCTAAAAGTAACTTTTCCTAATACCGATGACACTGGTAAGGCAGGTACGGGATGGGAGTACCTCTTATGCATCCATATCAAAAATTAGATGGAAATATCTTCAAGAAACGACAAAATATCCGAAATTTGTCGGAGCGTTGTTTTGCCGTCCACCACAGGTACGAGTGACCGGAAGTCACTCAAATTTCTTAATACACCTCGTTACATACAAGAGTAACCCTCCTCCTGCTCTTCTGACTGCTCAAGTGTGGCCTCTCCCGAGAGACCGCCAGGTAGGAATGTATATTGTTTATAAATTTGAAAGGAATTTTTTTCTTCACCAGGTAGGAATGTATAATAACAGTTGTTTATAACAATTTTTTGCAATCCCATAGAATGGAAAAAGTTTCTAAAAATATATTTTTTCTATGTTTTAGTTGTGGAGGTAGAATCAAGGCCACGCTACTTCCTGCGAAGCAGTTGGCAGAAAGAGTGAACAATTCTCCGGCGAATGTTTGTCTACATTTTAGTTACTTTTCTTGTGATGTGTCTTTCACAGTTCTAATTATTATACTCAGTTGAATGTGTGTGAGGGTGGATGGGTAGGTGTGGGTGTGTGCTTTCAATGTGATAATTGTTTACATTTAATTAATACTCAGTGTGATGTTAACATTTCTTGTGATGTGCCGTAATTGTTTTAATGATTTTTATTAGTTCAATATAAATATAATGGAATTAATATCACAAATGACATTCACTTACAAAGGAAATGAATGACTCAAATTATGATTTTATCTTTACGTTTTCTGTGGTGGAGATCAGTGACCCTTTGCAGGAATTCGTATAACGTACGTGCAAAGCGTGATGTGACAATGGCGATGTTATATTTAGCAGCTTTAACTTTCTCGTCCCTGTTGATGGCACAGGGGTGGGTGAATACCCCGCTTCTGTTTGCCTGTGTCGTCAACAGGGATGACACAACAATGGATACGTTCTCATGTACTATGGACGAGGACTGGCTGCTCGATGGGGTTACCCTATGCTGTGGTCCGGCACCCCTCGAACAGCCAACCATCGTGACCAAAGGAGTGGGGACCGTCTCCTGGGGGAGTGTATTTACTACACTCACATCATAATCATCTACCCTCAGGAGGCGGTCGACTGTGCTCTTAAAGTTTATTCTGAGATATATATTCCCAATCATCTATTCAGTACCTCAAAATTGTCACAGACCATGAGTCTATACATAACGTACTTGAATTATTTGTAATAATACTAATGTTAATAAAAAAGGATCTCATAGGTGGTTTGGTAATAACTCCATTCTAATATGTGTGTTATAGTGCAACACCCCTGTTTCCCATTTACTGTCTAAATATATATTTATATATATATAGAAAAAATAAAATGAACGACCGACTAAAAAACTAGCTGCTTTCACCCTTCACAGGGCTCTTCAGGTTTATTCAAAAGAACAACGTCGTGACGTAACAATTACATGTCATTACACTACAATAGTAACGTGACGTCACGAAGTACACAAGATTGGTCGACAATTTGGCGTAAAATTTTATTGTGGCCTGTTGAGACTCTGTTTTAATATTTTTATTAGTTGGTCTTCTTTCGTTTCTCTTAAAATAGTGTCTGATGAAAATAGTTGATACAAAGGTAATACATTAAATTTATCTCCAGCACATTCATGAATATGTTTGTTAACATGAAGATTTTGTAAAGAATCAGTTCTAGTTTGTTGTCTATGTAGTCATTCGTGTTCTGAGTTCATTACCGGTTTGACCGATGTAAAAATCACCACATTTAGAACAAACGATTGCATAAATTACATTTTTTGATTTACAATTCATATTTACCTTCACAGTAAATTTCAAACCATTCTTGAAAATAAAAGTATTACACTCGATAATCATAGGACATGTAGCACATCTTGGTGTCTTACATTTGGATTCTTTTGGTGTTACACAAGAATTATCAAACTTAGAACATGTCAACATACGTTTCAAGTTTTTAGGTTGGCGTCTACAGTGTAAAATAGCATGTTTATTAAAAATGTTTCTCATACGCCTGCTACTTTGCTTTAACTCTTCACATTTGTCTTTATCACAGGAAACATATTACAATTCCGTGATTGGGTCATTTTTTTGCCCTTTGCGGTCGTCAGACTTATTTTAAAAAAGATTGTTGCTGGGTACTTATATATTTATTTCATATCTATTAAGGTCAATACCTATATATAATATATTAAGGTGAATCAATGTATACTAAGTCGCTTATATAACACTGACCTCTGTTGCAACAGATTACACAAGCTAAATATTTGATTTCCCATTACTGCTAATTGTTTGATTGATATATATTAAAGATTAAGCAAGTGTCTATGCATATTATAATATCATTCTGAAATGACTGGCTTTTGAGAACAATCTAATTACTGCGAATGCCGCCACCACGGAGGCTAAGGTCACCACCCAGGTCACTGCTGAGACCACCTCCACCACTACCGAGGTCACCGCCGAGGCCACCACCCAGGGGGTCACCACCGAGACTTCCACCGCCACCGCTGAGGTCGCCACCAAGTCATCACCGAGGCTACCACCGCCACCGCTGAGGTCACCACCAACGTCACCGCCGAGGCCACCACCAAAGTCACCACCGAGACTTTCACCACCACAGCTGAGGTCACCAGCCAAGTAACCGCCGAGGCCACCACACAGGTCACCGCCGAGGCCACCACACAGGTCACCACCGAGGTTACCACCGCCACCGCTGAGGTAACCACCCAAGTCACCGCCGAGGCCACCACACAGGTCACCATCGAGGCTACCACCGCCACCACCCAGGTCACCACCCAAGTCACCGCCGAGGCCACCACACAGGTCACCATCGAGGCTACCACCGCCACCACCCAAGTCACCTCCGAGGTCACCACCCATGTCACCGCCGAGGCCACCACACAGGTCACCATCGAGGCCACCACACAGGTCACCATCGAGGCTACCATCACCACCGCCACCGCTGAGGTTACCACCACCACCACCACCATTGTTGTGCTGATAACAAATAAATTTTCATAAAGCATTATGATTTTCTTCATATTCCCATAATCAAGTATAACTACATTAAAATTAATCGTCATCATCATTAGTAACTGTGTAATGTTTGGAGATGGCGTAAGTAAGATGTCTAATTGCTTACTAAATACAAATTATACATTTAGTCGAATTTCCCTCGGTGAGAAAAATTTATCCATTTCCAGTTGTAGTCTTACTGATGAGATGGAGGAGGCACAACCAGCATCTCCGCCGTCAGACCTATCGGGTCAGAGAGGACTTGAATGTCTGTAAGTATAACATTTGGCATTAGGTCAATTTATAAACAAGAGACCCAAGGGCCTTAGCGGTCACCTGAGTTATATCATAGGTACTGGTAGCTTTATTTTATTGTTTAGATGTGATGTGGAAATCAGCATGTAAACTAAGTGAAATACAATACTTGTCATGTCATCAAAGGATAAGAATTTTAAAATATTTGTAAATGTTCCCTTTGGGGCCCCGCTCTAACCCCTGGGGATGGGGCAGGAATTCCAAGTTTACAATGTGATACCGTCGTCCACCAAAGATGATTCTGACCAAGTAAAAATAATTTCTAACAGAAAATTGTCAAAATATACCCAAAAGTGTTGTTTCCTTATATAAACTATAGTAAACTTTACCCCCTCCCCAAGAGAGAACGGATAGCTCGGGGGTCCTGAAATTGACAATTTAAATAAAGCCCCTGATGATCTTTCCATCCATGCAGAGAAAATGACTGTAGTATAGGACTGAGTCTGGAGAAGAAGATTTTTGAAAAATTGGTTAAATTTCCCTTTGGGGCCCCGCCCTGGCCCCTAGGGCTGAGGTAGGAATCCTAAGAAGTTGATAATGTAAAAAGTTTACGCACGACGACGGACGGAAAGTGATTGGAAAAGGTCACTTGAGCAAAGCTCAGGTGACCTAAAAAAAATCGATCATTTATGAATCTTATGATTTTCTTTTTTTAACCTGGAATGTATGCGAGTTGTCTCCCCTTGAAGGGATGATTTGAATGTGTGTAAGTACAACATTTGACATGAGAAGGCCATTTTATAATAATTCAATCATTTATGAATCTTAGGATATCTTTTTTTACCTGAAATATATGTGAGTTGTCTCCCCTAGATAATTGAAATTCGTTTTTTGTTAACAGTCTCCATTGCAGATGATGGTGAAGGTATTATGTTCAATCAAATTTGATTTGAATCAGGTGGTTTGAATTCCAGATAATTCCTTAAAGATAATTCATTAATTCTTTATAACATGTTTTCTGTTAAGTTTAAAGGGTTAATTGTTATAATCAACCAGTTTTAAATGATATCAGTGTTAAATATACACATTTCATTATGACTTATTCTGTTATTTCAAAGTTCTAGTAATGTATATGTATCTAAATTGTAGAGCATATACAGATGGAGGACTTGCCCTCCCGAATCCCAAGAATCAGGTACTTAAAATTTTATGCAAATATTCAAATACTGTGCCAAGTCACAACATACTCATTTATATTTTCAAGGCATGATGTTTGAATTCTTTTTATTATAGTGGAACCTGTTCTGAAGGAATAGGAACAGGAGGAAGAAGAATATTTGTTCCAAGGTATGTAGATATACTTTTTATCATTTGTTCTATATATTATACTGACAATTCAGAGAGTATCTCTGTTTTCGCTGTAATTACTTTCTTATGATTTAAATAATTTAAAATACTTGATGCTCTTTTAAAATTGTAGATTTCATGGCAGAATTATTACCCTCCTCCTCCTCTTCTCATTGTTCAACAAGCGTGGCCTCTCCCGAGAGACCGCCAGATAAGAATGTATACTGTTTATAAATTTGAAAGGATTTTTTTTGTTTCACCAGTTAGGAATGTATAATAACAGTTGTTTATAATATTTTTTTTGCTATCCCATAGAATGGAAAAAGTTTCTAAAAATAAATTGTTTCTATGTTTTAGTTGTGGAGGTGGAAGTGGAGGTAGAGTCAAGACCACGCTACTTCCTGCGAAGCAGTTGGCAGAAAGAGTGAACAATTCTCTGGCGAATGTTTGTCTACTTTTAAGTTTCTTTTCTTGTGATGTGTCTGTCTTTCAAAGTTCTAATTATAATACTCAGTTGAATGTGTGTGAGGGTGTGTGTGAGGGTGGATGGGTAGGTGTGGGTGTGTGCCTTCAATGTGATAATTGTTTACATTTAATTAATACCCAGTGTGATGTTAACATGTTTTGAGATGTGCCTTAATTGTTTAATGATTTTTACACTAATGTTGACTAAACATTTCTGAGATTATACCAATGTTTAAGTATATTTTAATGTGATTTTGTAGTTTTTAGGTCACCTGAGACAAAGTCTCAAGTGACCTATTGCGATCGCCTTTTGTCGGTCGTCGTCCGTCGTGCGTCCGTAAACAATTTACATTTTCCACTTCTTCTCCAAAACCCCTGAACCAATTTCAATGAAATTTTGCTGGGACCTTCCATGGACAAAGGTCAACAAAAATAGTTGCCGGTTTAGTCCTAAGCCCCCAGGGGCCTGAGGGGCGGGGCCAAAAAGGGTCAAATTGACTAAAATTTCAAAAATCTTCTTCTCCAAAACCCCTGGACCAAATTTATTGAAATTTTGCAGGGACCTTCCATGGACAAAAGTCAACAAAACTGGTTGCCGGTTTAGTCCTAAGCCCCCAGGGGCCTGAGGGGCGGGGCCAAAAAGGGTCAAATTGAATAAAATTTCAAAAATCTTCTTCCCCAAAACCCCTGAACCAATTTCAATGAAATTTTGCTGGGACCTTCCATGGACAAAGGTCAACAAAATTAGTGGCCGGTTTAGTCCCAAGCCCCCAGGGGCCTGAGGGGCGGGGCCAAAAAGGGTTGAATTGACTAAAATTTCAAAAATCTTCTTCTCAAGACCCAGATATGGTAGAATCAAATACTCTTCATAGATGGAAGGGTCTTAGGGTCTTAAGGTGCTTTACCAAAATTGTGGAATTCATGACCCTGGGGTCTCACGTTTCCCCCTGGGGAGGGGGTAAACTTTACTATAGTTTATATAGGGAAATCACATTTTGGACCAATATTTGTTTAATTTCCATTGGAAGTAATTCAATTTGGGTTAGCATTATCAGTATTAGGTAGCAGTTTGATAGTATGTACCTATGAGCCCTGGCTGACCCCCCGGGGCTGATGGGTGGGGCCAAAAAGGGTTGAATTGACTGAAATTTCAAAAATCTTCTTCTCAAGACCCAGATATGGTAGAATCAAATACTTTTCATAAATGGAAGGGTCTTAAGGTTTATGACCCTAGGGTCTCACGTTTACCCCCTGGGGAAGGAGGGGAGGGGAGGAATGTATTATGGTTTATAATGGCAAACGATACTTTGAATATTACATGTTAATAACTTGATTGGAATTATAACCTTGAATTGACACTTTGAAAATTTTGAGCCAGCCCTACCCCCAAGGGCTGTAGGGTGGGGCTCAAATGAGTCAGTGTGCTAAAATTTCTTCATTTTCCTTGTTAAGAATCAAAGGTGCTAGTTTCAAATCCTTTTTAGTCTGAAATCTGTATGCTAGATATTGAGTAAGGTGGTTTTATTGTTTTTTGTCACTTTGAATAATATTTCTGTTCATGTTAACAAAATCAACTCCTGTATAAATATATCAGGTGACCGTTAAGGCCCATGGGCCTCTTGTTTACATTAATGTTTAAATATATTTTATTGTGATTTTTAAAGATTTACCTATTTTCCGCCTATTTGGCCCCACCCCTCTGCCCCCAGGGGGACCATACCCTCCGTTTATACAAAACTGAGAACATTTTGGCCAATGATGCACTAGACCAAATTTTGTCAAAATCCCTTCATCGGTACAAAAGAACAAGGCTCTTTGATGTTTTCCTCTATTTCCCTTAATGGGCCACACACCCATCTGCCCCAAAAAAGGGAGCCCACACACCTCAGTTTAAACAAAATTTATTCTTTTGTCCCAAGCATGCTTCAGACTGCATTTGATTTAAATCCCTACACTTGTATAGTAGGAGAAAAAAATCCCTCTATTTCCCCTATTGGGCCCCGCCCCTATGCCCCCAGAGGGCCCACACCCTCAGTTTTTACAAACTTGAGTCTCCTTTGTCCAAAGATGCTCTAGGACATATTTGGTTAAAGTCCTTCAATTGGTTGAGAAGGAAAAGATTTTTAAAGATTTACCTATTTTCCCCATATTTGGCCCCGCCCCTCTGCCCCCAGGGGGACCATACCCTCCGTTTATACAAAACTGAGAACATTTTGGCCAATGATGCTCTAGACCAAATTTGGTCAAAATCCATTCATCGGTACAAAAGGAGAAAGATCCTTGATGTTTTCCTCTATTTCCCCTAATGGGCCCCACCAATCTGCCCCTAGAAGGGGGCCCCGAACACCACAGTTTATACAAAATTGATTCTTTTGTTTGTTTGTTTGATTTTGTTTAACGTCCTATTAACAGCTAAGGTCATTTAAGGACGGCCTTTCCTGTGTGCAAGATGCATGCGTGTAGTGTATGTGTGTGTATTTTGGGAGGCTGCGATATGTTCGTGTTCGTCTCCTTGTGATAGCGCGGAACTGATGCCGACTTTATAGTGCTACCTCACTGAAACATACTGCCGAAGACACCAAGCAGGACGCCCCACCCGGTCACATTATACTGACAACGGGCAAACCAGTCGTCCCACCTAATTTGCTGAGCGTTAAGCAGGAGTAGAAACTACCATTTTTAAAGACTTTGGTATGTCTCGGCCAGGGGACAGAACCCAAAGCCTTCCTCACAGGGCGAACGCTCAACAAATGGCCAAAAGTGAGGCAATGTCAAGGGAGACATTAGGAAGAAGAAAGTTATTTAGAAAGGAGAGAAGAGATAAGGTCCCAAATTTAGTCGCCTCTTATGATCATGCAATTGGGGGCAGCAGGTACAATTCTGACGCCCTACCTGACAATGCAGAGATTCACAAACAACTATAGACTCATAAATTTGTGATTAGTTATTGACAGATGCATATATATGTACAATGTACTACTAACCAGTACATTTGGTATTGTACATATGCAATAAAAGTTTAACAGATGATTTCTTCTGGGAACAAGTTATAACAAAAGTGCTGATTTAATAGTAGACATTTGAATTTTGTTAGGTGTTCCTGTAGATTATGTCC